CCCGGAGGCAGCCGCCGGGCACCCGTGTCTACAGCGAGTGGTCCTGGCGCCTCCGAGGCGCCTGGGGCTCGAACCCGGGTCCCATCGCCCAGCGCGGAGCCCTGGAGCCGAGGCCCGAGTTATTCAAAGTTGCCTGTCCGGGCGGTGAGGAGCGGACTGCTGTTCACCGTCTCTGCTGCCCTCCCGGACTGCTCTAATAAAACACGCTGGAAACCATTCCGGAATGTTTATCTCACTGGTTCCTCGCAGGCTTGTCTCCTAGGTTTTTAAGTTTGTGTTTCGGATGATGGCCTCGCCTCTGCAGGGCGGGAATACCGAATTATTTCACTAAGATCCGGCGTGTAACTTGCATGGGGAAATTTAGTTCAGTGCTTAGTCTGGGATCAGAAGCTGGTGGAAAAAAGTTTGCTTTGTCAAGGCGTCAAGAGTTACTGTCGTCTTTACTATAGTTACATTTGGGTTTGCAAGACTGGAATAGTTGATACCTTGACTAAATTCAAACGATACTAAGGGGGTCTAGAGAGGGTCTCTCCCCGCTCCACCTCTGCACCCACGGTATTACCTGCTGCTGTGCATCCTTCCAGAGGTTCTACATGCAAATTCCTCTCCTTCCTTAAAGATGTAGCTACTGTTAATAAGTGCCTAGCAGTTACTAGAGGATAATAAATGTTTAAAATCCTTAATCTTAGAAGGCAGTTTAGTAAGACTTTTTGATTACTATTGCAGATCACCAAAAAAGAGAAAAAGAATGACTTCCTTTCTAGCTGTAAACATTTATGGGTGTGCGTCCATTGTGAATATATATGTATGTTCTGTTGGTTTGTCATGACTTAACATGAGTACTTTTCCACGAAGGTATTTTGGGGTCATGGGGTAGGGAGAGAGAAGCCAATGTGAAAATTTAAGACATGGAGCACTAATACAATATGAGAACACTTCAGAAAGTTCATGGAAAATGAGTCTTCTGAAAATATTGTTTTTTTAATTTTGCAGCAAAATAAGCTCATACTTTCATTCCACTTTTCTATGAACTTTTTCAGGTCCCCTTTGTATGTAGTTCCAAAAAAATGACTTAAAGCAATTTGGTGTCTGCCTTGGACAAGAAAGTAAAACATATCTAAAAGAACATGAAGGTAGAACAGGAAAAAAAAAAAAAGAAACAAAGTCAAGGGAAAAGTGTGTATTATTAAGAGTCTGTGCTAGAGAGGAGTTGGTTTGGACTCTGGACTTTCTAGGAGCCAGGAAAAAAGAGGTAGAGAGCAGGGTTTCAGCTGTTTCTAATTCCAAGATGAAAACAAAAGCAGTCCTTCTGCCCTCCTGAAGCAAGACATTTTCTTTTTTCTCTTTTTCTTTTTGGAGAGTTTTGTTTTTGTTTTTGTTTTTGCTATAGGACACGTGCGCTCGCTAGAAAGACAGAGAGAGACAGACAGAAAGTGAGAAATCACCCCCTCCCTGGGGGCATGGCCGTGCCACAATCCCGTCTCCTCCAATCTCTTCTCGGGATCCTGGGCACGCACGCACATGTACCCGGTGTGAGTTTAAGCCACTGGGTCTGGGACTTGAACCATGGTTGACTACAAGGGAGTCCAGTGACATAGCCATTACACCAACTGCTGGAACCTGGCATTTTCTAGTACTAAGGCCTGAGGGGACCATCCTCAGGGGCTCCAATAAAAACGGAGACTGCATGACACAGTTGACAATATCTTTAAAAGACCCCTTTGGGAAATAGTGGATTTTACACACCCATGTTTTTGTGTTGAATTCTGAGAGTTTGGGTAACAAGAGACACCTCTGTACAAAAATAGTCTCTAGATGATGCAGCGCTACTCAGTGTTACCACTCTGAAAATAAATGGGAGGCCAGAGCTGTTATTCATCGTCTTCATCTAGGAGAAAGGGGTTTGCTGAATGTCTCAGGCAGGACAGGTGATACTGTGGGCAAGAGACCCTGACTCCCTAGTGGCTTAAAACCAGGGCCGTTTTATTTCCATCCCACCATGTGTTCAGTGACGGTCAGCAGGAGAGCCCTGCTCCAGGTAAATCACCATTTGGAGTGTCAGGCTGCCAGAGGCACCACTCCACACATGCTTCCACGATTCTTGGGACAGGGGAAGGGGTCTGATTTCATTGGCTCTGAAAGGCACACCTGTAACTCCCACTGCCATTTCATTGGTCAGCGAAGTCACATGACTGTAGCCAACTGCAAGGGGCCGGGGCATGCAACTCTGCCTTGTGTCTAGAACTTCATGAACCACACAGAGTGGGCATCATAGTCCTGTGAGTGAACCCCAAATGAATAAATAAACCCAAATTATGTTTTTCAGTAGTCTATTTAGAAAACAGTTTTGTGTATGTTTGTTTAAAAGGAATTATGCTAATGCGAATTATGAAGAACTTCTTTTACTCGTTCGAAATGAAATTCTTCTGAAAACACCATTAGATGCTCTTTGGACTAAATGAATTGTATTCTTTTCAAGTTGCATGTGCACTCAGTAAATGTTTGTTAATGTGCATAAGGCACAACTGTGTTAAGTCCCGTGAGGATAAAAAAGAATGGTGAGTTTGTAATTCCAATAGAAAAGAGCTATAATTGAATTCTCTCTCCCCTACTCTGGAAGGCACCATTAATAATATTTCAGTATGATAAAATCTGAATATAAATAGATAAATGTATGTTAGACTTCCCCTCTCCCCTTTGGGATCCTTTTTTGGTTTGGCTGATTATTTTGTGTCGAATTATACAAGATTAAGCTAGTTTGGGCAAAAAGTGTTTTGTTAGAAAAGTCAATAGCTTTGTGAGTCTATAGGCAAGGAGTGGACCTCAGAGGTAAGGGGCATTGATATTAGAAAGTTAGAGTGAGGGCTTCTCTTCATCTCTGGGTCTATGTCTCCACATACTGTATGTGGTCTATACTCCACATACTGTATGTCTCCACATACACTTCATTCTTTTTCTCTGTGGACTAATTTTTCCCTACTTATCTGTTACCTGGGTGGAGGTTTTGTTGTTTTTGTTTTTAAATGTTCATTCCATGAGTGACAGAGACACACACACAGTACCCCAGCAGGGTCTTGACACTGCAGTCTACCCTCATTTTCAGCCAGCCCAGATCCCGAACACGAGTGTGGTTCGTGTGCTCAGGGAGGTCTCTGGATGCAAACCAGTAACCACCTACCAGGGGGTTAGCCTTGCAGAGCACCATGTTTACCGCTCTGCCACCGTTCGGCCCCACATGGGGGGGGAGCTTCAAGCACAAGAGTTCCTGTGCTTGAAGCTCACCAGAGCCTTAAGCAATTCAGAAGATCTGAGAGGTGTGTAAGTGCCACATTTTGGTTAGTTCTGAAGTTAACCATCATCAGAGTTTGGAAAGAACAGAGTTGGTCCTGCTGTCTAACAAATTAGGGTAATTGGCACTTTCAAAGTAGAGGAGGCAGCTATTCAGATAGTATGTGATCAGAGAAACCCGAGGTGCCATGAAAGTTCTACACAATTAACGCAAGCTTGCAGATTCTAACGGGACAGGCTGATTATGCTCACTGGGATAGGAAGGTAGAGCCAGGGTTGACCAGTTGCTGTAATATCCGCTCTCCAAACACAGGCAAATATCTTTTCCATTGTAATTTCTTCATCCATCCCTCCTTCCTCTTCCGAGATACAGATTACCGAATTGTCTAACTCTTCCAAGTCATCTGCTTCCATCCTGACACAGGGCAGCCTGGCCTCTTCTCGCGGCTAATAATGCAGGAAGAAGGTAACGATACACTGCCTCGCTCTGTTCTTTTCTACATCCAGATTAGTCCCCTGCTCTAGACTTTTTACGCTTTAATATGCTATTGCCTTATCTTACCTCATCACCAATTTATTGTTTTATTCTCAGTAAATGTCTTTTACTATTCTGTGTATGTAGCCTCTGCAGCAAAGTTCTCTTGCATTCTTTTTTCTTTTTCTTTTTCCTTTTTTGTAATTTTAGTTTTGCTCTTAGAGTGCATGTGCTCATGGGGTGGTGGTGGTGGTGGTAGGAATAAGAAAGTAACTCTCAGGGGGATGACTACATCGTGAGCTCTTCTCCTCCATCCTCCTCTTTGGATTTTGGACACACATTGCTCACCTACCCAGCTTTTCAAGCCACTGGGTTCCGGGACTCGAACTACAAAGTCGGCCATGTGGGATCCAGCCACCTCGATCTCCGTGCCACCGGCTGGCCCTCCTTTGCATTTTTTTAGCTGTGCACTATCTCCTTTTTCTCCTGATAGAGAAGTACTCATAAGTTGACCTCAGCAGATAGCGGAAAGGATGAACTATGGAGAAGTGGTATATGCTACCTGGAAGAGGGGCTCCCCATAAAACGAGTCACAGAGGAAGGTGAGTAAAAGCTGTGTATGAGGTTAGGTGGGACCTGCCAGGGAGGTGTGGTGGGCCCAAGGAGTATGCAGCCAGGTTCCAGGTTGAAAGAGCAGGAGTGCCACTCTGAGGCTTGTGCTGCTCTTGTTCTGGGCAAATGAAGGAGTCTTCTTAGGTTCAGCTGAACATTCAGGTGCAGAGAGCTGCTGTAGGCAGGTGTCCTGAGAAGGCTGTCAGGCCACCTGCTGGTAGGCAGCATCCGATGTGCCTCGTCAGTGGGAGTGATCGTCACAGCTGTCCAGGCAAGCAGCTCCGAGAGCCCCCATTCACCATCTGGCGACGTCGTGGAAGCACTCACACTGGCTAGGTGGAGGAGCATCCTTAGCGAAAAAGCCATGCCCCACAGGAGCAGTACCTGTCCCCCTCTATAGACTTAGCTGCCAGGGTCCTCACAAGGGATATGCCAAGTAAAAAAGCTTCCACGGCCAGGGAAGTCAAAGCTGTCGCTTCCTTTTTCTTTTTCTTTCTTTTTTTGGGGAAGGTTTTTGCTATAGGGTGCATGCGATCACCTATAAAGCAGAAAGAGACAGAGACAGAAAGCGAGAAATCACCCCCCGGGGGGGAGGGCCATGCTACAATCCCTTCTCCTCCATTCTCCTCTTGGGAGCTTGGGCACGCACGCACATGCACCCAACATGAGTTTAAGCCATCCAGTCTGTCTGGCATGAGTTTTAAGCCTCCAGGTCTGGGACTTGAACCACTTGACTATATGGGAGTCCAGCAACGTAACCATTGTACCATCTGCTGGTCCCAGAGCCGTCACTTCCTTACGAGATGTTTATTCTTTATACTTCCTGAGTCCCAGTGCCTGTTTCCTAATTGGGGATCATTTTTATATGAGCAATATCGCCTAGTGACACAGGTGACGTACCTTATTCTACGGATTGCCAGGGGACCAGAGGTAAGAATTAACCAAGGGTTTAGTGCAGAGGAGAAGGGTTTTGTTAAGCCACTCACTCTTGCATTACCCACGGTGCTGCTCATCTGGGGAGTATTCAATACTATATACTTTGCTTTTTTTAATTGTCAGAATGCACGTGCATTTGGCAGAAAGAGGGAGGGAGAAAGCACCCCCCAAAGGGATGCAGTCACACTCCATCCCTCTAAACTGTTGGGATCTGGGGCACACACGCACATGCACCTGATATGTTTTATAAGCTGCCAGGACTGGGATTTGAACTACAGTTAGCCATGTGGGTTCTGCCTCTCTTCACCACTAGGCTATAGGACCAGCCCAGCTTTTGCTTATTTTGATGTACTGTGTTTTAGTTCCCCTTTATTTATTTATATGTACTTGGGGGGGGGAGGTTTTTGCCATAGGGCGCGTGCGCTCACCAGACAGACAAAGAGAGACAGAGAGACAGAAAGCAAGAAATCACCCCCCAGGGGGGATGGCCACGCCACAATCCCTTCTCCTCCATTCTCCTCTCGGGATCTTGGGCACGCACACACACGTGCCCGGCGTGAGTTTAAGCCACTGAGTCCGGGACACGAACCATGGTCGACTACATGGGAGTCCAGCAACATAGCCATTACGCCAACTGCTGGTCCCTAGTTCCCCTTTATTATCAAGTATGAAGTAGGTTGAGAGGAAGAGGAGGCTGGAAAGCTAGGCAAGGACCGCCAGGTCATTTAAAATCCTAACTTCTATGCTAACGATTCTGGCTTCTGTGTGTCCTGTAGGTAATGAACAACAGGGCTTTAAGTAGTATGATGTAGCCAAAAATGACACTTTAGAAGCTTACTTGGGCTGTAGTGTGGAAAGCAGGTAAGAGGCATTTACAACTTGAGGCAATTGGTTCATTTACTGCTTGTGCTTCTCTAATAAGCAGAAGAAATAACTCCATGTCCTATAGAAGTTTAGAATTGCAGAAGGGGTTCAGCATGGTCCTTGGGAGGAGACTGAATCAGTTTATTCCTGTCGGTTTACTCAGAGATTGGGAGGACGACCCTGAAATGTCCCCTAAGAACCTTGGGGCTAACCTAACCCATGATTACCACCAAGAAATTCTCGCCTTGGCTGATTCCCCCCGTTCTCCATTTGACTCCTGGCATGCCTCATTTTGCGTCTTCCTTGAGTTAAACTGTAGGACAGTTTATTGCGTTTTTCTGTTGTTGATTTTTTTTAAATCTAATTCTTTTAGAGGGAGCCAGGAAGTGTCTTTAAGGGTTCACTGGTGTAAATAGCATTTGTACTGAGTAGCCGTTCCTTTTTTTTTTTTTTTTTTTTTGAGAGGTTTTTGCTATAGGGTGCATGCGCTCACCAGACAGAGAGAGAGAGACAGAGACAGAGAGACAGAAAGCAAGAAATCACCCCTCGGGGGGGATGGCCATGCCACAATCCCTTCTCCTCCATTCTCCTCTCGGGATCTTGGGCATGCACACACACGCACCCAGCATGAGTTTAAGCCACCGGGTCCGGGGTGCGAACCGCAGTCGACTACATGGGAGTCCAGCGACATAGCCATTATGCCAACTGCTGGTCCCAATAGCCATTCCTAATAAGAAGCTGAGACACAGGGCTTTTTTTTTTTTTTTTTTTTTTGGAGAGGTTTTTGCTATAGGGCGCGTGCGCTCACCAGACAGACAGAGAGCTAGAAGGTGAGAAATCACCCCCCAGGGGGGATGGCCACGCCGCAATCCCTTCTCCTCCATTCTCCTCTCGGGATCTTGGGCACGCACGCACATGCGCCTGGCATGAGTTTAAGCCACCAGGTCCGGGACGCGAACCGCGGTCGACTACATGGGAGTCCAGCAACATAGCCAGTACGCTAACTGCTGGTCCCAAGACACAGGTCTTCACATTCTCTCCTCTCTGTCGCTTGCAGTGCCCACTTTCTGACCTCCTTTCCTGCCTTTCCTCACCACCTTCCCTACCTGACTTTCGCTGTTCTGTCCAACATAAATACACAACTTAGCAGCACTGACTGGTCCCACGGCAGAATTGCTCTGACGTGGGATCGGCTCGTTCTGTGTTCGGAGAGCCCAGGTAACTGACTGATTGCATCCGTGTCTACAGAGTACTGCCTGGTCACCTTTTTCACCTCTGTGACCACGAAAAGTCTTGGAAGACAGAGCCCTTCTGGCTTTGGTTCAAGTCAGTAAAACACAAAATCGTGGTTTTCCAGATTGTTACTTTTTATGGCACGGGCGACAGTTGGGTGTCTCAGCATTTGCCAGGCATAATGGATAAGCCAGGGCTGGCAGTGGTTTCCCGTCGTTCTTGTGATCTGCCAGTGTTCGCCCCGCGCCACGTCTGCAGAGGGGGTGGCGAGGAAATCTTCCCTCTGCACCAGTTTTCAAGCCAGAGGACTATTTCCAAGGGTGAATACTTCTCACAGGCCCACTAGTGTCACAGAATCTACTGTAGCTTTTGTAGGTAAGCTTGTGGCGGGGGGGAGGCTATGTAATATCGGAGTAGCTGATTTTAAAAATGTCACTTGCTTTATTACCAGATATTAGTACTGATCAGTAGTTCAGGGGTGAAAAGGCACTTTGGGGTGTCATTGGGGTCAGCTCTTCGCTCTGCAAGAAACAGTGACAGAAATTGGGAGGGACCCAAGTGGGGAGAGACCTGTGAGGCACTTGACACGTGTATTTGGGATAAATGCCATTTTGACATTTAACGGCAGGTATGATAAACTGAACAATACTTTGTTATGTAAACACAATGTGTTCTTTACTCCTTCTTTCCCGCTCTCTCTTTTAGGCCTTATTTGTTTTTAGCTTGGTCAGATCTTATGAGCAAAGAGTTTAGGTCTGCCCTTCTCTCGTGTGCTTTACGTCTAACCTGGTACAAGTCAACCGTACTCCGAGTCTGCTTCCTCATTTGCATAGTGGGTAAAAAGTCTTCTACCTGCCTCGAAAAGGGCTGTGAGTAGCAAATGAGACTCTTTTATTATTTTATTCTTTTTTTTTTTTTGGAGAGGTTTTTGCTATAGGGCACGTGTGCTCACCAGATAGACAGAGAGAGACAGAGAGACAGAAAGCGAGAAATCCCCCCCCGGGGGGGATGGCCATGCTGCAATCCTTTCTCCTCCATTCTCCTCTTGGGATTTTGGGCATGCACACACACACCCTGAGTGAGTTTAAACCACCGGGTCCGGGACTCGAACTGTAGTCGACTACATGGGAGTTCAGCGACATAGCCATTACGCCAACTGCTGGTCCCACAAATGAGACTCTTTTGAAAGCAAGAAGCAGTGTGGTGTGCTTAAAAATGTCTGGCCTTTAGGGTGAGTCCTGGATTCAGATTGAACGCTGCTACTCACTGAGAGAGAGAGAGAGAAAGAGAATTATCAAGGCAGATCCGTTAACCTCACTTCAGTTCAGTGTCCTCATCTATGGGGGCGCAAGGAAGAGGGCCATGACCCCTGTTCACCAGCTGTTTTCTGACAAGTAAATGCCCGATTCAACGTAAAGTGTTTCTCATGGTATTGTGTACATTTAGGGATTTAGGGACTAGTAGCTGCTGTTAAAAACCCCATAATGGAAACCAAGCTTGTCTAAAGCTCCACTCAATTCTCCTGTGACAATGTCGTTCCTTCCACATTCATACTGTGGTTTCCGTTCTGCTTCCGGTCACCCCGGTGTGAAAATGCTGTCATCATCTACTTCCCTCCATCCGTTTGCCGCAGGCGTCCTGTACGGACTGTCCCTGCAATGTCTTTAGCATCTGTTCCCCTTTCGATGTTCTCGTCGCCAGCCGCAGGAAAACGGTTGCTCAGTTGTAGTGTTTCCTGGCTGATTTCCTTACTAATGGTGTCTTCCTTCACAGATCCATTTTTCAGCATTGCGATTCAATCATTTTTTAAAATAAATTAATTTACATTCCTTCACTGAGCATTGTCAGCATACAATCTGGAGGGCTACCTCTGATTCTCGCCTCGAGCGCTTCACCTGGGCCAGGCGTGGTGCAGTGGTAACGCACCTCTCCATGGTGCTGAAGCCACATGGAGGGC